TGTAAAATGGGAAGAGTAACAAGACCTGCACACGAGGCTATTGTGGTTGAATGAATTAATATATTTATTGAGTGGGAAAAAGGCAAAGGTTTGCATGAAGGAAAAAACAGGGTTGTATTTCAAAATACTTCATTTTAACACAAAGGTAATTGCCTGCCAAATAATCTCACACGTTCGCTTCTGAACTTTAAATGTCAGCAACTTAACTTCTCCTTAATTATGAATGTAATGTCCATTTCTGTATGTATAAAATCACTTCAATCTAAACTGCCTATTTTTCTTTCCAGTAAATCATCAGGATTATCTTTTATTTAATAAACTTCAAATTTCCTGGGTGAATGAGAGAAAAATGTTCAATGGAAAGGCTAAACACTAGCAATAATTGAGTAAAGAAAACACTGAGGAACAAAAGGAAAATATAACTTAAGTGTTTTACTGGAACCTGAGTTAATAAACAGGGATCACAGAACGAACAGCGAACGAACAGCAAACAACAGCTTGTGTTATATCAAGTGAAAACTGGAATGATGAACCTGGATTTCCAGTCTGAAACTATTATGCAATCTGAGTAAGGGAATTAACAAGTCACATTACACATTAGAACATCTTCTAGGGCTTAAAACAAAGGGAACAACTTGCACATTACATAACTGATACCTATAGCTAAATTTCAGTATTGTGCACTTTGGGGAATAATTTTGCTTTTCTTAGAACATCAAATAAACTGACTGTTGCATTTTGGAAATTGTTTACCTGACACTTTTTATAACTAAGAAAACCTTGGCTTCCTTTCATATCTTAGTTGTAATATCTTAATTCATATCTTTATAGGTAAAATTTTATTACTATTTGTACTATAAAGCAAAGCTTCAAGTGAACTTTGTTTCTACTTAATATTCAATTGAACATTGTCAAAGCTAATCAAAGTACAAAAATTCTCTGATTTTTTAATAAGAAGTGGTTTAAAGAAGCAGAGATCTTTATATAGACATTTTACTGGGCCTTTTGTAAAAGTTCATACATGTAAGGAAAAAACTAGAGTATTGGGATTTGGTTTTAATCCTTTTTTTTCCATTTCCAGTTAAACCAATTTTCTCTTACTTTTGTTTTTGGGTTAAAGCCAAAATCAACATTGTCCCCATTTCTAAACCAAATAATGGAGAAACAATTAAACTTCTGAATGCAGTTAGGCAGAGTGGCTGGACTCAGCCTGAGGGGCGTCTCGGACTCATTTCTGACTCTAGGCAAGGTATTTAATGTCTTTGCACTTTTGACATAATTGGAAAAAATGCTATTTGTTTCATTGGTGTATTATTAAACTGAACTCAAAAACCACCATTGGCTATTGAGAGAGATCAGGTTGATTAGAGAAAAAGCTACTTCTGCAGTTTGGAAAAAAGATTTACAATTACATCTGCTTTCTGTTACTGGGATGTTTTTGAATGAATTGAAGGGAGGCTGATGTAAATAATAGGATTTGCAGTTGTAAGTATACGAAATGGATAATAAAATGGACCATGTTCTAATTTCCACTTCATAAGTGAAAACTTCAGAAATATTTTCCTTTATTTCTATGGTGGTCAAACTCATTTGATTTTTTTAAGTCTATTGTTGAGTGTATATTTTTGAGATACATGACAAAGATATTATTATATTCCATTTTCAGGATAAGAATCAGAAGGAAATAACCTAAAAGGAGATTTTAAATCTGTGTTTTGGATAAATTTTTAGCTGTCTTATGTTAAGATGGAGTCCATTGGTGAATGTTAACTTATTAAACATGTGTCTTTCAGTAACTTGTTCTTCCTTTTTTAAAATTTCTTATCTTGAAAGTCCTTCAAAATATGAATAATTCACTTAAACATACCATTTTAAAATCCTAATGTGTTACTAATATGCTTTTGTTTTGAAATTGTGTTTTAAAGGTTACATATCAGCTGCAGTTGTTCAGTTCCAACTTAATACTTTTGCTTTTAAATAGGAGCTATTATAATTAACTTAAAGTCTTTCAAGGGGAGGCAAGTGGACATTATAGTCTTACAGAAAGTTACAACAACTATTTGACACTACATCAAGGAACAGTTAATTGAAAACTATTTTAATTTTTACAATAATTAAAAGGTTTGAAACAGCTTAAAGCAAAAAAAAATTTTGCAAGACAGATACAACTAATTGTGTAATGAGGAACTAAATAATTAAATAATCAGATATAACTTTACCATAAAACAGATTTGTATGATAATAATGATTTAGTAAGATGTAGGTGAGAGATTTTCAAAGTTTCTTAAAACTTACCATTTTTCAACATTATAGAACATGGTTAGAATTACAAATGAAAGTAGTAGGAAATTTGGAGGACTTATAATACTCTCAGAAATTATTCTAAATATGATCAGACTAATATAATGGATTTTAAAAAACAAAAACAAACAGGACATTTTAAATTTCTTATTGTTTAAGGATCTGACAGACTAGGTGCTGTCTCCTTTCTCTGGGACAGACCAGACTGATTATTTTTATATCAATGAGATAGAAATTTCAGAACACCAAAAAATGGAGACCTGCTGAAGCATTTCATTGTTCCTTTATAGTCTGCCAAGTCTAATGTATAGAGCTATGTATATATGTTCTATAACTTCTAAATATCTCTCAAGACACTTTTAACACATTCATTTATGTTGTAGCCAGAAACAGACCTAGATTTAAAAGCATAACTTTTAAAGCTCTTTTATTAAAAGCTGATTTATTTATTTCTGAAATATAGCATTTGACCAACAGGGGTTACTTGATGAAATAAACAATTATATAATCATTTCAAGAGACAGCATTAGAGCAAAGTGTGGAAGGCACTAAAAATTTCATGACTTTTAGTCCTTTTTTTTTTTTTTAAGATTTATTTGCTTATGCTTACAGAACTGGGGTACAGGCCAGAGATGTGGTGGGTGAGAAGATTCACCAGAGACTGAGTGGGGAGCAGAGCAGGCAGACTGACAAAGTACACTGCTGAGTGGAGCAGTTTGTGGGTCAGGAGAGGTCTGCCAAGCCATGTGGGTCAGCTTCCTGGCAGGGAATTGAACTCATGCTGCAGTGGTTTTGTAGAGCTTCATAATGTGATGCTTTAACCCATTGTATCACCAGGGAGAGTCTGACTTTTAATTCTTAACTCCTGAACATTTTAAACATTTTAACTGATAGTAGGAAGTAGATTAAACAATGACAATCTGGTTGTTAACACACGAGAAAGATGAGACATTATTTTCACTAATGAAATGAAAAAGGTCCAAATAACAATCCATTAAATAGCTTTTTTTTTTTTTTAGTCAGAACAATTTGAAATGGAGTAACAAATAAATGGCTTTATATTGTCATACTAATCTTCCAGATTAATGTAAATATACTTAGTGAAAGTTGATTTTATTCTTTAGGCAAATAACTTTTAATCTGTTTCCTCAAGTGTTGATGTTTACTGGTTGAGCTCATTTCCTTTCATTATGCTTGTGTTCTGTCTTTGTGAACTAGCACTTTCTTCTTTGAAAATTGTCTTTATATGTTTTCTAAATTTTTTCCCTATGGCTTTCTTTACTTTCTTTTGCTTGGTTATTAAGACACTTATTCTTTTTTCTTGTTTTCCATAACATTAAAAACCTACATGGTTTATGTTTGACTATGTGTATTGATTACATAGCAAGAAATCTCCGTTATGTAAAAGGATTTTATTTTTATTTTTTACTACTTGAACTTTATGATAAATTTAAAATTAAATGCTAAATGATCACAAGGGTACAAAGAAAATTTAAAACAAAAAACAAAAACAGCAGAATAAGGGAACTATATTTATTAGCAACTAAAAACATGATTCAAACTAATAATTTTTATAAGTTAGCTATGATAATGGCTTTATTCCTTTAAGATTGTTAAGTTTTAAATAAAAAGTATTGACTTTCAGTTATTTTTTTTCTGTGATTTTATGAATCCAAATATTGTAGCTCAAACTCACATATAATAAAGAGCAACTAGACACTAAGCCAGAACACTTGGGGGGATGCATGATCTCTGGTCATCATTGTGAAGGAAATTACTAAAGCAGGCTGTAGAGATTAGGATGCACATGTTTGCTGCTAGAATCTGGTGTCTTTGGCTTAGATATTCATTTCAATCTGAAATTTTCTCAATTTGTAGCTATAACTTTGAGATCTACCATACAAAATTTAGACTCTATTGCATTGTAAATGATGGTATTTTTAGTATAGTTAGTATAGGTATCTTAAAGGAAATGATTTCTAGCTTTCAAGATGATAATAAAAGATGCCTAGAAAAGTTTTTTTAACATAATTTCAAGATTATTTTATTAATGAGAAAATATTAGCTAATAGAAAACATTTGTCTTAATTTCTTAATTTGTCGTCCTACTGTTTGTAATTCTCATCTCAGTCTATCTTCTAAAAGGTCACAGAGGGGTCTATTTTTTACTTCAGCAAACATCTTAACTGTCATAATATAGGGGTAAGATTTAGGGTGGGTGTAGGAGATGTATGTGAGTGCATTGGGCTTGGGGGTTGAGGAAGGGAGGGTGGATCTGAATCTTAGAGAACAATGTCTTTTCCCGCCCTCCACTGTACCTGCTTTCAGGCTATCTGGTTTTACTGGAACACAGAAAGTAAATCTTTCCTACTCCGATAGGGTGGGAGAAACACTGTCCCCCTGGGTACTCAGGGTTTAAGTGAGGATCTGGCGTCAACCCATCACCTCTACCTGCCTCTCAAGGAACTAGAGCGGCCAATCACACACCCGTCGGAGAACTCTAATGTACTTAGCTTGCTGGTTGTCAAATTTCCCTCTCCCCAAATTTGTTATTCAGTTTCAGCAGTTTGCCGGCTCTCCTGCATGCTTTTTATTATCCGCGAACTTGTTGACACTACGGCACCAGCTGTTTTCTCCTCTCCCTTTTTCTCAACCTTGTCAATTCATAGCTTTTATGTTTTTCTTTACCCTCTTTCTAGTTGGGGTATGTGAGAAAGACTGAATAAATTCATGAATAAATCCTTCCAACAAAAATTCCTGAGCCCCAACTCTTTCTTAATTCTTATTTGCAAAAAAACACTCAGCTCATTGCTTTGCCCTCGACCAGGATACACATAAAGGAGGAAATCAGTTCCTACAGATCACAGTTTTCTGGTAATGAAATAACTTTTCCCTTTTAAGGAAGATTTGTTTTCTCCCTGGGGAGTAATTTCTCTCTGGGGCATATTTGTAGTGACAAATACTAAAGGTTTATGTGGGTCACCTTAATAGTTTAAATATTGAGGATATAACAATTATGATCTATCTTCAAAAGTTTTATTCTAATCAAAATAGCAGGGACAAAGGGAAGCACTTGGAGAAAAATAAGTAAAAAACAGAGCAAATGATAATTCCATTATCTCAATAGCTAGAACATAGCAGGCACAGAAACAATGTTTATTGAGTGTATAAATGACGTATTAGTCTGTAACTAGAGTGCAGGATACAGTGAAGGAAGTAATAAATTTTGTCTTGAAGGGTAGTATGGGAAAGTATAGTTTTATCTTTAATTACACATGGCTTTATGTGTAAGGAATTTATGTTGTTTCAATTTCTATTTTAAGATTTTCTTTTCTTCCTTAAACCAATGCCCTGTGGTGGCAGTTCTTTTATTCTGCCATAGCATCACGCTAAGCAGATCACTGCTGAAGTTTAGATGCTTGCTAAAGCTGTCATTCCCAGGACGGCTTCTGCTATAGTGTGACTGTCTCCTCTTCCGCCATGTTCTATGGGGGAAGAACATGAGTGGAAAGAAATAAGTCACAGTTCTGTTCAAGAGGAAGAGTTCACTTGGGAAAGCAGGTAGGAGGCCTCTATACCTCTTTTTTTTTTTTTTTTTTGAGATTTATTTATTTAGACATACAGAACTGGTATACAGGGCCAGAGGTGCAGGGGGTGAGATGATTCAACAGACACAGAGTGGGGAGCAGAATAGGCAGACCAACGAAGTATACTGCTGAGAAGAGCAGTGGGCAAGGCAGGAGACATCTGTGCCAAGTGGGTCACCTCCGGGCCTGGGGATAGAACTCGTACTGAAGAGGCTGTGGCTAGTTTGCAGTGCTGTATCCTAACCTGTTGTGCCTCCAGGAGGGCCCTCTGTACCTCTTTCTAACCTGTTTCTTGTATATGGCCAGGGTATGGGAAAACAGTGCACCACCACGGAGAATACAGATTAGAAACGTGGATCCTCACAGTGGAACCACCTCAGTTCAGTAGGCAGGATTTCACTAAAGTCAGTCAGATGTAAGAATGTGCGAAGTAAAACATATAGCTAATTTCTCCAGACTCTTTATGACTCTATACTGCACAATGTTGATGTATTCTGAAAATTTGCATTATACTTTTACAATACTTCCCAAAGTGGTTATGTCTATTTATCACTGCCTCATGTTCTGTGACTATTTTTGTTGGCCCCAAAACTGACAACTGCCTACTTTGGTAACATAAACCAAAAATTTTCTATTAAGTCCCCAAATCACTATTTCTCAAACTTTGCTAAAAGTTGGAATTAGTTGGGAGTCTTTATTTATTTTTTTAAGGATAGATTTATTTATGCATACAAGAACTGCAGTCTAGGCTAGAGGTGTGTGTGTGGTGGTGGGGGGGGGTATGATTCACCAGATAGGGTGAGAGGATGGTGAGAGGATTCACCAGATAGAGTGGAGAGGAGAACAGACTGGTGTACTGAAATACACTGCTGAGGGAGCAGTGGGCAAGCCAGGAAAGGTCTGCTGTACCTTATGGGTCAGCTTCCTGGGTGGTTGGGGGTCAAACTCATGCTGCAGTGGCAGGTGATAGCTTGATAGCGCTATCTTTAGCCCCTGGGCCACCAGGGAGGCCCAGGAGTCTTTCCTTCCTTATATGAAATTATTTATTGACATTTTTGGGGATACAATTTTGGGCTTCCATATGTGCCTATGTCCCACGCGCCCTTCACCAAACCAACCCATGCTGGTGCCCTCTCTGCCACCCTCCCTGTTTCCTCTGGTAACCGTTATATTCCTTCACTGAGCTCAAGATTTATTCCTACTGTATTTTTCTGGTGTACATTTTCTGGTTATCTTTCACAGATCTCTGATATTTTTCACTTAATAAGCACCTCAAGTTTCATCCATTTTGTTCCAAATGCCATGATTTCATCTTTCCAGCTAGGTCATTTTAAAAAAAATTCAAGCCATGACTGCCATCTTCAGACATCTGATTGAATCCTTGGGAATAGAGAATTTTTTGAAGTTCCTATAGTGATCCTAATAGGCGGCAAAGTTAAGGAATCACTGCTTTAATTACATAAACATTGAAAAGAGAGACATAAAAATTAAAATGGGCTAATAACTCATTTGATTCCACGGTTGGTCCGGCCTCCACTCCCCCCCCACCTCCCCCCAGAAACCACAGGTATGAGATGTTTAAAGATCATGCAGACTTTTCTGTCTTTCTAGGCTACTTAGCATCTAAAATTTATGGACTGAGGCAAACAGAGAAGAATTGTGGTAGGATGGGAGTAACCCAGTGGAGCACGGTGCTGGATTATGGTGGTGGAGGTTCTGGTGGTGGGCAGGGTGTGAATGTATCCATTTTGGATGTTGAACTTAAAACTCTGGAGCAGATCTATAAAAAGATATAAACCTGCATTACCTGAACAAATATAGTTTTTGGAAAAAATAAGTAACATTTATTTCACAAGTTTCATGATTTTAAGATTGATTTAAAAAAGATCTCAAGAAATGGTAAAGTTAATTTTTCTCCACCAATTTAAACAGGCTTTCAGGTTTTATATAATCCTAGAAGCTTGCCTATACATTAAAATATTGAAAAAACAGTGTAGGTCCCTTCCTACATGTTGTCACTTAATTTTCTTTTCTCTTTTTAAAACAAAGGCAGTCTTTCATGTATATAGTTACTATTCATTTAGCACTTAGCATATGCTAAATGAATTTAAATAATATTTAAAATTACTACCTTGAAGTTTCCAGAGTTCTAAGATAAAAATTTCCATTTTAAAGATCAGGAGCATATTATTACTAAGTTGCTTAAGAGAACAGAGCAAGAAGGTGGCCAGTCAGAATAATGACTCAGAGATTGGGCCTTTTACCCATTATGTCACTAGGACTGCAGAAAGAACTAGAATCCCTCTGTTTTTGTAACTGAATACATTTAATTTTATGTGAAGGCAACAGTGAGTAGCATTTTATGTGGGGAGGCTGACAAAGTCCAGAATTTTCTCAGTCACTTAGATGAGAGATGGCTAGAACAGAATCTGACCTCATGGAGCAACTTGCTTCTGAACTCAAATCTGGTCTCAAAAAATTCAAAGTAGATTATAACATTTTTTTTTTTTCTACTTGCAGTTCTTTCAGTGGGAAAATGTTGATATTCAGTTTCATCCTTGTTATAACTGCTCTGGTAATGAGCAGGGAGAGCTGGGTAAGTATACTACAAAACTAGACTATATTTGTGATGTCTGCTTTGTTGGGAGTTTTGTTTTCCTTTGCAGAAAAATTATAGGAATTTGTCACTGAAACTTCTTAGAGTGTGTGTGTGGGGGGGGGGGCGGTTAATGTAAAAGTTCCGTGGAAGCACCTGGTCCCTATTAGGTGCTTACCAAGTGCTTTAAATTTTTTCTCAGTCAAAATTAGCATCCACAACAAATAAGTAAAATATTTTAAAATTCTAGCAAAGCTAAGTGCATGTTTAATTAAGGGTTTTTAAGTGAATGAATGAAAGAGCGAAGACATTGACTAGCAGGAGCTGGAGGCAATGAATAAAGTTTGTAGGATTAAAAAAAAAAAAATTCCCTAGCGTTGCATTACATTAGGAATTAAAAACTGTCCATCATTACTAAAATTTTACTCAAAGTTCTGGGGCAAAGAAAACTAAGTTTGAAGAAGCTTACTATAACTATGTGCATAGTTTCATAAGTACTGCTCAGACTTCGCAGGAATCCCTTCAGCTACTTTTAAATTGCATAGTTCACTATGTTTACACCATCACAGCCAATTCCCCACAATTGGAAAGCAACCCAGAATTTCAGACACCATAAGATATTCTTCCTGTTCATTCTTTAGATTGGGGGCTAAGCATATAACCCTATCAGAAAGAATAAATCAGAGCAATGAGGAGAGAGTACCAAGCACAAATAAAGAACAGTCCTGACAAAATTCTGGGAGATTTAGTGGCTTGAACCTGGACATGAGAGGGAGGGGTAGGGGGTAACTACGGCCACTTCCCAATTCTCTTGGCTTTCATTTTTGAGGCTAAATTAAAACCCTTCATGGGAAGGCAATGTATGCTTTCATTTTGCCCAAACAGGATATTTAATTGTGCTTTCTGACTGCCTGGCAGAGTTCCTGGAACAGGGAAGGTCCTCATATGTATGGAATGAACATAAGGTAGTACATAAGGATAGAAGTGGGGAGTTACACAAATGTAAATTGGGAAGTAGATCTGACTATAATCTCAAGCCTGTGTAGGAAATAATGTATGCAAAGGTAATATAAGGCAATTACACATTAAAATTCATAATTTACATTTTTATGACATGAGCTGCAAAGACATGTGAAGGCAAAATGGCAAAAATGCGTCTTATGTCCCTCCACTGTCCCTCACAACTCTTCCAACACTGAGTATATAAGAACTCCTATTGTGGTTTCTTGCCAATGTAGCTCTTCCCAAGAGCCCCACAACCCTCCACAACACATTGACTTCAACTTTGGGAGTTCTGCTCAATGACTTTTTTTTTTTTTTAAGATTTATTTATTTGTGCGTACAGAACTGGGGTACAGGCCAGAGACTCAGGGGTGGTGAAAGACTTCACCAGAGACAGAGTGGGGAGCAGAACAGGCAGATCGACGAAGTACACTGCTGAGGGGAGCAGCGTGTGGGTCAGGAGAGGTCTGCCACACCATGTGGTCACCTCCGGGGCAGGCAGGAATCGAACTCATGCGGAAGTGGTTTCAGCTTCTTAGTGCAGTACTTTAACCCGCTGTGCCACCAGGGAGGTCCTCAATGACTTTTTTTTAAAAAAAGATTTATTTGTGCACAAAGAACTGGGGTACAGGCAAGAGGAGCAGGGGTGGTGAGAGGATTCACCAGAGACAGAGTGGGGAGCAAAACAGGCTGACTGACTAAGTGCACTGCTGAGGGGAGCAGCAGGTGGGTCAGGAGAGGTCTGCTGCACCATGTGGGTCACCTCTGGGGCTGGTGGAGATGGAACTCATGCTGAAATGCTTTAGTGCTGCATTTACCCGCTGTGCCACCAGGGAGGGCCCTCAAAGACCTTTTTAGGAAATATCTAATAAACTCCTTCAGGTACAAGGTGCATGCTACAAACTTATTTGACTTTTTAGAAAAGGTAAAGACGTGACTGAAGACTCAATCTCCTCTCACTCCTTTTTGAAGTAATTGAAAGAACAAACAATTAAAAAGTAAAAAAAATTCAAAATGACTGGGAGAATTTCCACAAATTCAGAGATATGAGGATCTACACTAGCATTCTTTATAGGTAACATCCCTCATAAAAGTAACCTATGTGGTCAGAATTTCAGCGTGCAATTATATTTTAAATATATATTGATGCCGGAAATCATTCAAAAGGCTTATTTATTTCACAGACTGACACTAATCATGTGATTAACTCCTACAAAAGAATTTATAGTTAAGAAAATACATAGGCAGTCTCATGTAGAAATTGAGAAAAAGAACCTTGAACTGGATTTCAATGGAATCCTATCTCCCTATTCCCATGGGAATTCTTGACCAAGTTTCCTCATCAAGCTTGAGCTTCCTCATCAAGCTTGAGCTTCCTCATCAAGCTTGAGCTCATTCCTACTTCGTGGCATCATGAGAATCAGGTGAGACCAACCCTGTAAAGGTCTTAGCACTGTCAGTTGATTACTTTGTACTATTTCATTTCTTTAGGGAGCTTTAACATACACCATCTTTTCTGATGCTTAAATAACAAAATTATATAAAAGTTTCTAGCCACTTTCTGGTTAGAACTATGTGAGATGGGAGTCGGAGGCATAATCAAATCATTACTTTATCAGGAGCTCTCATTTTCCATGAGCTGTTACTTTGCAGGCGCTCTCAGACTGTCTTCAGGAACAGGAGCGCCTCAGAGCCCAAGTGCGCATGCTCCAGACTCGGGTCAAACAGCAACAGGTCAAGATTGCTCAGCTTTTGCATGAGAATGAAGTCCAGTTCCTCGATAAAGGAGAGGAGAATAGCGTCATTGACCTTGGAGGCAAGAGACAATATGCGGGTGAGAATGTATTTTTCTGAAGTGTTTCAATATTTTATATTATCATACGCGATAGGCAGTGATGGTGCCAATTGTTCGATCATTTCAGGTTTGATAATCTGCAACAGAAAGCATTGTACCAATTTTACATTGTACCCTATTTTATCTTTTTATTTCTATTAGGGACATCTAATAGCAATATGAAATGTCTGAGAATGTCTGTAGTTTTATAAGAGAGCAAGACAATAGTTTAAATATCCTTGTGCAAATGGCAGAATGTATTTATGAACTTTTACAATTGAACTTTGTTTTTGTGTATCTTTTCTTGTTACATTCATAGTTTTTCTTTTTTAAATCCTGATGTTCTTCAGTGTAGTAAAGTATTGTAAATAAATAAGAGAACAGAAAAGGAAAAGGGATCTGAATTAAGTAGGAAAATAAAAGAAAGGCTTTCATGTGTATGTTGTATGCACTGGTAATTTTCCTTTTGATTAGGCCAATATTTCTCCCTAAAAACTACATGATTTTTTTTTTATTTATTTTTTTATTACAAAGTTTATTTTTACATCATTTTGCACATTTTTTTTCCATCTCGATTGTAATCCCCGCGGGTTTCCCATCACCAGATCCCCCCTGTGCCACCACCCTAGTCCCGTGCATTTCCCTCCTTTCTTCCCCCTCCCCCCGTTTTTGATCCCATTCCCCACTCCACCCCCACAGAATGTCTCTGGTATATGGTTGTTCATTATTTTTGTTATTTTCTCACTTGGTCCATTATACTCCTGCTATGAGTGAAACCATCCGGTATTTTTCTTTCTCTTTCTGGCTTATCTCACTAAGCATGATCTTTTCCAGCTCCATCCAAGTTGCTGCAAAAGACATGTGTTTCTCTTTTTTGGTTGCTGAGTAATATTCCATTGTATATATGTACCACGTCTTTCTAATCCAGTCATCTACTTTTGGGCATTTGGGCTGCTTCCATGTTTTTCCAATTGTAAATAAAGCAGCAATAAACATGGGGGTACAGGTATCTTTTTCAGTCAGTGTTTTTGTGTCTTTTGGATAGATACCTAGGAGTGGGATTGCTGGGTCGTAGGGAAGCTCCATGTTTAGCAGCTTGAGGAACCTCCAGACAGTTTTCCATAGTGGTTGTACTAGTTTGCATTCCCACCAGCAGTGCAGGAGAGTTCCTTTTTCTCCACATCCTCGCCAACAATTGTTGTTGCTAGTTGTTTGAAGATGTGCCATTCTCACTGGGGTGAGGTGGTATCTCATTGTGGTTTTAATTTGCATCTCCCTTATCACGAGTGATGTTGAACATTTTTTCATATGGCTGTTGGCCATCTGCATTTCCTCTTTGGAGAAGTGTCTTTTTAGCTCTACTGCCCATTTTTTGATGGGGTTGTTTACTTTATTTTTGTTGAGTTTCATCAGTTCTCCGTATATTTTTGTGATCAGTCCTTTATCGCTACTTTTGTGTGAGAAAATGTTTTCCCAATTAGTGATCTTTCTGTTTGTTTTTAGTAATGTTTCTTTTGCTGTACAGAAGCTCTTTAACTTGATGTAGTCCCATCTATTTATCTTTGCCTTCACTATTGTGGCGTTGGGTGCTCTGTCTTTAAAGATGTCGCTGAAGTGTATGTCGTGTAGTGTTTGACCCATCTTTGCTTCTAGGTATTTTATGCTTTCCGTTCTTATGTCTAGGTCTTTAATCCACTTCGAGTTGATTTTTTTGACTGGAAAGCTACATAATTTTTAACTGTCAACACATTGTACAACATAATGCATATACTATTACTTCTGCTAGAAAATTATTCACTTCCTTCAGGCATCTTTTAAAGTAGTCAAACAATAATTGTAAAAAACAACATGAGCACTATTTAGAGCACTGTGTTCAGAGGTCGTCAGCTGCTGCCATGTTATATTATAATTTCTCTGTTTATGAGTCTCCCTTGGTTAATTAGCTGGGAAATTTGCAAGGTCTGGGACAGTGCTTAATGCATTCTTACCTTCAATTGTCTATCATAATGCCTGGGACAGAGTAGAGACTCATTTATGAATGAAAGCAAAGAAGTATGACAAGACAGAAATAGCAACATTAGCAAATATAAATATTGAAATACATCTGTGAAAACCAAAGAGATGTCAAGCTCGAGAAAATAAAAACATCTTTGTGTTGAGTTTCTGAGTACACTCAAATACACCCAGTGTGGGGTATTTGAATTGTGAGAATCTTAGAACTTGGGCTTTAATAAAAGTCTCCCTTTTTCTCTTTACCAAAATGATAATTTCTGTTTTGCTGAGACTTTTTGCCCTGGGCCCCTGACCCTGTTGTCTAGCAGCTGATCCTTGATCCTTGGTCCTTGGAGTCCAACTTCCCCTGTTTTAGAATCAGAAGTCCAGAGCCACTGGCATGTGAGAATGGAAATGGATACAGGGTGAAGATGCCTGTGGCTCTGGGCATGGAACAAAGAGCAACGGGGACTATAGACTGAGGTTTAAGATCTAAAAATCTGACCTTACAGTGAGAGGATTAGGGAGCAGACTTTAGGTAACAAGGGTGAGTCGGGAACTAGGCAAGAAGTCAGTTACTACCAAGTGCCAAGGTCCGAGCAGGGAACACTGTAAGGAGCTAAGTGGAAGGGTCATATGGACAGTGTTCAGACAAACCACTACATTGTTTGGGCACATGCCTGCATGTGTAGATGTCTTATAACATTTTTTTTTAAAGATTTATTTATGTATTCATACAGAACTGGGGTACAGGCCAGAGATGTGAGGAGGGTGAGAGGATTCACCAGAGACAGAGTGGGGAGCAGAACAGGCAGATCAACGAAGTACACTGCTGAAGGGAGCAGCGGGCGGGTCATGAGAGGTCTGCCACGCCAAGTGGATCACCTCCGGGGCAGGCGGGGATCGAACTCATGCGGAAGTGGTTTACGCTTCTTTGTGCTGTGCTTTAACCCGCTGCGCCACCAGGGAGGGCCCTATGTCTTATAACATTAAGCAAATAATGATCAGATAGACAGACAGCCTAGTCAACTCTGGATATAATAGCTAAAAAAAAATCCAGGTATTAGTAGGTCTGTGTTTAATATTTTTCATATATGGTGCAAGGATGAAGGAGGAAAAGAATTGCAACTATAAGTGCAATTCAAGGGTATTTTATTTTCCAGTACATAAGCACAGAGTACTAGAGAGCTTAACAAAGTCAAACAATAAAGAAATTATTATTTTAAATCTCTTATAAAATATATAATGTATATATTATATGGAACTATATCTAAAAACAAGACATATGGGAGAGTAAGAAAAGAACCCATTTGTGTCAAAGTTTATGCTCTTGGTGTCCTTAAATTTAAAAAGTGAAATAATTATGTATATGATCTATAAAAATATGTTTCTCTGTACTCGTTCACAAGTTGCTATGTTATTACTTAACTCATTATTTTCTTAATCTAATGCATCTGATGGTAAAAAACACCTCATTATGAAGAAACTAGCAGTTTGTGCAAACAGTGCACCGATCACATGATTTTTATACACCATGTAATTAAATGTATCCTAGAAAAAGATTTTGGTTTTTGTTGAACTATGCACCTAAATAAAAAGATTACAGTACCAAATTCGCATTAGCTGCTGACAATCATAAACCTGTGACATCAAGATTTGTTCAGCCACCAAGACTGCTAGTGCGACCCTGCCCTCATTTCTAGGAGGCCCAGTTTATCCTCTCGTCGGTCTGAGGCAGGATGCATAGTGGGTCAAGTGTAGATGCTGAAGTTTATTTTCAAAGTCCAGATGCCCATTTTACTTGCTGTGACCTTTGCACAAGTCACTTAACTTCTTTGTAGCTCATATTCCTCATCTCTAAAATGAAAATAATAAAAATACTTGATTCTTTGTTATAAAGATTAAATGAGTTAATACATGTAACATGATTAAAAAGCATTTAGCTCAATGAATGTCAGTTGTCTATATTTAGTATTATATTATCAGTTAACTGTTGAAAATATTGCATTGTGAACCTCTGCCTTTTTTTCAGAGGACAGAGCCCACCGATCCCATCCTACGAGAATATTATACTCTCCATGGAATTAGTGTTCTTTCTTCCTTTTCTTCTTGTATGTCCAGAAGCTGAGGATGGCAGTAACAAGACCAGTTCTGGCATTTCCCAGCATGCCCTAGGGAGTGGCAGCTGAACTCTTCCTGCATTTCTTTAAGTTTAGAATGTGGGGTACTCTTTCCCTTTGGTTCTCATCTTTCAGTTTCAGCCACCATTCTGGGATAAATGGAAAAAACCCATTTGGCAGGCTGTCATGTCACTTTATGAAGTTTAAACTTCAGGCTTTTAACATGGCTTGTGTTTTGCAAGATCAGAGAAAGTCCTCACCCAGTTTATTGCATTGTTTATCAAAGAGAGGGCAGGAAACCCTGGCTTCACTCTGCTATTATGTAAGTATCCAAAAATCCTTTTTTCTTTTTAACTCCCATGAACACAGAGTTCCTTCACCCTGCCTATTCTCTAGGGGATTGAGTAGGTTGAAACAGCTAAAAAAATCATAGTTTCAATATCAAGTTAATGTTTCAAAGACTACATTGCCTGACTTTCCTGTGTCATATTGAAAGTCACATTTCCTAAAGGCAGGCTCTTTAAATTGCCTGCTAGAAGCATTTGAGCTACTGATGCTTTTTTGATGTCTAGTTATTTGTTTAGTTGAAAGTTTTCCTCTAGATCTTAAGTTGTGTTTTCATTTCCCTTTGGGAGAAAGGAAAAAATGTTAAAATACAACAAACTTGCTGTTGGCACAAATAAAAATGAATAGAAAACTTTGGCTGAAAACTCCCACATTCATAGTTTTTCAGAGGCAAGTGCTTAGCTAATCATTTCCATATATGTCTGCAAAAGAGTCTAAACTTGTGAAACTTTACTATTTAGCTCTTTGGTATGAGATTAAATATAAACAAAAAGCTCCTTTCCTAATAAGTTTAAAAATCTGTTTACTTTAATGAAATCTGTTGTACCACACACTTGACCACAGAGGTAACCTTTGGAACAACATTGGCCTAATTTTAGAAAATATTTTCACATTGTTTCTCTTCTTGTTTAATTTTCAAAACAGGATCTTTTTCAATAACCCAATATGTATAAAGAATAATTGGGCTTCTGATCCTCAAAAATGAATATACACATAAAACAAAGCTTTACAAAGATTAGCATCTCACCAAAGTAGAAGTGTAAACAAAAGCTATAAAAAGTGACTAAGATTCTTTTCTTTTCTGATTCCTATAACCCATTCAATCTAATAATATGTAGTGTATTTTATTATAACAAAAGTTGACACATTGGTATCAAAACAATAAAAATGAAGAAGGAACTTAAAAATATGTGCTAAAAGAATTAATTTATCTAATTATGAAGAGAAAAAAATTAAAGAAATTAACAAAATGATAAGGCAAACTATATGTTATAGCGATGTTAAATTACAACATTTTCATTCAGAAATCTTGAGTCCATTAATAGTGACCACTACCCTACAATATGACTTTTGGAGTATAGAAACAAGCATAAAATCCATAATGTCACATTCTCTAAATCTGCACAGAATGATGTAGATGATATCCCATGGATATGAATTCACACCCTCAAGTGGTTTAAGCAATAGCTTTTACTTTTGGGTGACATATTGGTAGTTATGTTTGCTTCTGTGTCCAAAAATACTCTGGAAAAGGGGAATGGAGGCATAAAAGAAAAGAAGAATCTTGCTATTTTAGCAAAAATATCTAGGAATGCATGAAATTTCAGTGGCTTAATAAAATTCTGATGAAACTGGTAAGCTGTAAGAATCTAAACTGAAGATTGCTATTTTGAGTTCACTGTATACAATCATACAGAATGACTTATAATGCTTTTAGTAAAGATAGCCCATATTAATTTATGTGTTTGTTGTTATATTTCTGCTTTCATTTTAGCCTCATAGAAGACATAAATTCTAATATTTTGTCTGACAAAGCTGTAAATTCTGTAAATACTATAATGGGCTGAACACACATACATATATCTATTTTAATTGGGAGATTAGTAAATTTTGCCATACATGGCTTTTTAAATTGTTCCTCACAAAATAAAACAATCCAGAAAAAAATATATTCTTGTTTCCATGATTGCTGCAGAGTCAGATGATAATTGAATATTAGAAAAAAAAATAAAAAAGAAATTTCCTAATATCCACTGGAAGATGTACAAGATGCAATTTTCAAAGGCTGATTATCTGCATCATGTGTTCATCTGTCCATTGGTACTGAGTAATCTTATTCAGAGGCTCCCTTAAAAAAAAGAACATGGGGCCCTCCCTGGTGGCGCAGTGGGTTAAAGCATAGCACTAAGAAGCTAAAGCCACTGCCACATGAGTTCAATTCCTGCCTGCCCCAGAGGAAATCCACATGGCGAGGCAGACTTCTCCTGACCCGCCCGCTGCTCCCGACAGCAGTGTACTTCGTTGATCTGCCTGTTCTACTCCCCACTCTGTCTCTGGTGAATCCTCCCACCCTCCACATCTCTGTCCTGTACCCCAATTCTGTATGAATAAATAAAATCTTTAAAAAAAAAAAAAGAACAGGGCCCTCCCTGGTGGCACAGTGGGTTAAAGCACCATACTAAGAAGCTAAAGCCACTTCAGTATGAGTTCAAACCCACCCCTGGAGATGATCCACATGGCGCGGTAGACCTCTCCTGACCCGCCCGCTGCTCCCCTCAGCAGTGTACTTCCTCAATCTGCCTGTTCTGCTCACTACTCTGTCTCTGGTGAATCTTCTCGCCAACCCTGCACCTCTGGCCTGTACCCCATTTCTGTATGCATAAATAAATAAGTCTTTAAAAAAAAAAGAATTCACATTGTTGAGAGTGGCATTTTGAAGTCTCCTACTATGTATGTATTTTCTCTGATACATGTTTTCATAGATGACAGTAGTTTCCTGATGTATTTTGGTGCTCCTTCATTTGGTGCATATATGTTGATAATTGTTATGTCTTTTTGTTGTATTGTCCCCTTAATCATAATATAGTACCCTTCTGTGTCTCTTTTAACCTTTTTTAGTTTGAAGTCTATTTTATCTGATATAAGTATAGCTGTTCCTGCCTTCATTTTTGGTCCATTTGCTTGTAGGATTGTTTTCCATCCTTTTATTTTCAGTCTGTTTTTATGCCATTTACCTTTAGAGATAATATTGATATATTGGCATCTGTTTTTGCTTTTTTTTTTTTGTCCTTTGTGTTTTTGTTCCTTGTTTTGAACTGTTCTTGTTCATTCTTCTGTTGGATTTGGCTTGAGAACTTCTTGTAATTTTTTTTGTAGTGGGGGTTTAGTCATGACGAAATTGTGGAGTTTCTGTTTGTCTGAGAATGTCCTGGAAGGAGAGCATCACAGGATATAGTATTCTTAGTTGGCATTTGATGCTTTGGAATTTGTTGAGTATGTCCCTCCACTCTCTTCTTGCCTATAGTGTTTCTTCAGAGAAGACTGATATCAGCCTGATTAGTTTCCCTTTATAGGTTATTTGTTTCTTCCCTCTTATCATTCTCATTATCTTTTTATTGTCTGGTATTCTTGGTAAATTTGCTATGATATGTCTTGCTGTATTTCTCCTATTATCAGGGTAGTTTGGTATTCCTCCACTTCTTGGATGTCAACTTTCATCTCCTTCTTCATATTAGGGAAGTCCTCTTCTGTTATCTCTGTGGATATTTTCTCTATTCTTTGGCTTTTCTCTTCACCTTCTGGGATACCTATAACTCTGGTATTTCCTTTCCTCATGGTGTCAGATAGCTCTAGAAATGTTTCTTCATTCCTTTTTACTTCTCTTTCAACGACAGTGAAGGAAATGATAAATAAATGGGACAATGTCAAATTAAAGAGCTTCTGTACAGCAAAGAGACATTACAAAAAACAAACAGACATACCACTGATTGGGAAAAAATTTTCTCACATAAAACTAGCGCTAACGGATTGATCACAGAGATATACAAAGAACTGATGAAATTCAACAAAAATAAACAACTCCATCAAAAAATGGGCAGAAGAGCTAAAAAGACACTTCTCCAAAGAGGAAATGCAGATGGCCAGCAAGCATATAAAAAAATGTTCAACATCACTTGTAATAAGGGAGATGCAAATTAAAATCACAACGAGATACCACTTCACCCCAGTGAGAATGTCACATCTTCAAACAACTAGCAACAACAAGTATTGGTGAGGATATGGAGAAAAAGGAACTCTCCTGCACTGCTGGTGGGAATGCAAACTAGTACAACCACTATGGGAAACTGTTTGGAGGTTTCTTGAACTGCTAAAAATGTAGCTTTCATATGACCCAGCAATCCCACTCCTAGATATCTACCCAAAAAATACAAAAACACTGATTCAAAAAGGCACCTATACCCCCATTTTTATTGCTGCTTTATTTACAATTGGAATGACATGGAAACATCCCAAATGCCCAAAGTAGATGACTGGATTAAAAAGATGTGGTACACAATGGAATATACTCAGCAACCAATAAATAAATAAATAAATAAACACATGCCTTTTGCAGCAACATGGATGGAGCTGGAAAAGATCATGCTTAGTGAAATAAGCCAGAAAGAAAAGGAAAAATACTGTATGGTTTCACGCATAGTAGCAGTATAAAGGATCAGGCAAGAAAATAATAATAATGATGATGATAGACAACTATATACCAAAGACATTTTATGGGGGTGGAACAGGGAATGGGATAAAAAATGGTGGGGGGAGTGAGATGCACTGGACTATGGTGATGACACACAGGTGATTTGGTGATGGGAAGCCCATTGGGATTACAACTGAGATGGAAATAGGCACAAAATGATGTAAAAATAAACTTATATTATTAAAAAATTAAAAAGAACACACATAACAAATGTTATATTACCTTGTTTTGCAAACAGATTGTTCAGAAATTTTCAATGATGGATATACACACAGTGGATTTTACAAAATCAAGCCTCTCCAGAGCCCAGCGGAATTTTCTGTTTTTTGTGACATGTCTGATGGAGGAGGATGGACTGTAATTCAGAGGCGATCTGATGGCAGTGAGAATTTTAATAGGTATGCTAGCTGTAATACTATAAGGACTTATTTGGAGTAACAAATGTTAGCTTTATGATGTTAATCCTTTTTAAAAATTATGTCCCAAAGTCTGTTAATTAGAAGGAATTTCACTTTCACTAAATAATACCAAAAGTGCATAGGTTAATCAAGAAAATATTGGCACTGGGGATGGTAGTAGGTGATAAACATCTTGGATACTGCAAAGATTCATTTGGCTTTTGCTAAAATCCACTTTCTCTTTAAAACTTTTAGAGGTTGGAATGACTATGAAAATGGTTTTGGAAATTTTGTCCAACCAAATGGTGAATATTGGCTGGGTAATAAAAATCTTCATTTCTTGACAACACAAGGTAAGGTTTACCTGATCTCAAATTTATTTGAAATACAGTAAAACAGTACACTTTAATATTTTCCTAACTCATCGTGAGAAAATATTTCAGTTACTTGATTTGCAAGTGGCAGTGATCCCTTTAAAGGGAGCAGAAATCCCTTTTGTGGGATGTGGCTGCTAAAAACTAGGAAAGGAGGAAAAGAAATTAGACCTGGGATAGGAGTGTGGGATTTTTATATATACATTTTGGGGGGGGGGATGGGAATATATTATTTTAGTCATACTTTTAAAAAATACTTTTGAGTATCTCAAGATTACATACCATGTTGGTTATCTATTGCATGATAATTTTGTGCAACAAGTTACTGCAAAACTTAGTAGTTTAGAACAACCATTTATTATTTTTCACAGTCTGTTGGCTGGAAAGTTTTGCTGATCAGGGTTGAGTCCTGCTGATCTCAGTTAGGCTTGTTTATGGGTCTGTGATCTACTTCCCAGTCAGCTAGAGGTTCGCATTTCTAAGTTGACCTTTGTTACATGTGGTCTCTCACCTGCAGTGAGCTAGCCTGGTCCTGTTCTTGTAGCACAGGCAGAGGTCCAAGAAAGAGAGTGTAAGCACAAGTCTCAGGAGACTTAGACTCAGAACTAGTACAGTCACTGTCCCTGCCTTCAGCTGGAGAAACGAAGTTGCATGGCAAACTCAGCTTTCAAGGGAAAGGAGTAGACCCAATGGGAAGAGTTATAAAGTGGCATTGCAGAGGGACAAAGTGGTAGCAAAACCAGAAGTTTCAGCCTACCACCTACATTTTATAGTGACATTTCATTGTATTTTTTGTTGTTTTTTTCACATATATCTATCCACCATAAATCCATTTTATTAGTTTGACTCATTTCATAGTGAATTGCATACATCTATACAATAGTTTGATAACAAATTTCCAAGCTTCTCATTCCCATTTTCAGATACCAGTAGTCTGATAATAAATTTCCAAGCTTCTCGTTCCCATTTCCTTTTGCAATCAATCTGTTGCCTTTCTTACCTCTCAGTGGTAGTCTGGGATGATAGTCCCACACAGGTCTGATTCTGAATGTTTCATGAAAAACAACTGTCTTGTTCAAAAAAGCATGCTAAATCACACAATGACACATTAAATGTAAAAGCAAGGGTTTACTTGCTCCATCCAAGTTAGGAAAGTGATTGGTGCAGTAATCATTAGGATTAATATATAGTATAATATATAGTATAAGGACCTTTGAGACCTCTGAGTTATAGCTACAGGATAGATAACCCTGGAATCCTGCTTCTTTCTTTGTCCTTCTGATAAGTGTCTTCTAAATTTATATGAGGTTTCCTTCATCAGCGTTATTTATTAGTCTGTTCTAATGTTTATGATATAAGACACTATTATACTGGCTTTTGTTTCATTCACACATTAATATTTATCTGATTTCTTATTGAAACAGAAGGCCCCAAGGGGAAAAAAAGAAAAACAAGTTTTTTTCCCTAAGTATACAAAATTCAAATGTATTATTTTTCAAATTATTATTGAATCCTTATTTACCCAGATACACTTTGCTAGCACATTTGCTTCTACTTCATGTTTTCATTGGTATCCAGGCTGACTATTTTCATAGTAGCAAAAATATATTTATTGTTTCCAGACTTCACAACCATATCTCGCATCTTCCCCAGGAAAACCAGTGCTTTTGTTCTTTAATTATGGATAGGAAATTGCCTCTGAAAATAGGTTATTCCCATCATATAAGTTTTAACTGGAGATATTCTGTAGTGGTATTTTTATATATTATTGATCAAATAGATATTTAGCTATCTGCCTAAGAAATTGAGACTCCATGTCCCTTTTATAATATAAAGACTATTTAAGAGAGTTATCTTCGCCTGCCTTGCTGCTCTCATCTACTTCACAGCCTTGACTCATAAGACCTTTAATACCTTTCAGGTAACGTTCAGGCTAGAGGGCCTCTTCCTTGAAACCCCATTTACAGAAGACTATGGAATAAGGAATCTGTGGCCACAGGAACCTCTCCTGGACTTGTTCCAATGCCGGGGAGTCAAGCATGCCTGTTAGAACAGACTTCACATTTTCCTTAGAAACTCCTGCTCATGCACCCCATTCATGTCTCACCTTTGTCTCCCTGGGGATGACTTTGTTACTGGTGTGTGCACCCTAAGCTTGAAGAGAAGCAAAGAAAGAGCTTGTATTGTGGGTATCAGTGTTTGGATGTGTGCCTGTAATGTCCGCAAGGATCCTGGCTGCTAGAGGTGGGACTGGGGAGAGAAGGAGGCTGAACACAGACCAGGTGTGAAAGCCACAGTCTCTCTATTCCTGGGCCTCTACCTTTTTAAAATATTTATGTATTTATGCATACAAGAGCTGGGGTGTAGACCAGAGGTGTATGTGTGTGGGGTGGGGGGTGAGAGGATTCACCAGAGACAGAATGGGAAGCAGAACAGATGGACCACTGAAGTACACTGCTCAGGGGCACAGCGCCAAGACAGGAGAGGTCTGCTGTGCCATGTGGGTAGGCTCCCAGGCTGGGGATTGAACTCATGTCTCAGTGGCTGGCAACAGCTTGATTGCTGAAAATGCTGAGTCTTTAACCCCTGTGCCACCAGGGAGGGGGCCTTTTTTGCTACACTGAAGAATCCAAAGCCTGGTTTTACGACTCACTGTGAAATTTTATTTTTCAAAGTAGGAGAATAGAACATTATCTGTTCTTTGCCAAGTAAATGACGCATCTAGAAGTTTTCTACCTAATAATATGTCCTTAATGATTTTCAAGTAACATACACAATGAATGAAACGTTCATGTTATAAATAAAGCAGAGTCCTTGTTTATTCATTAAAAGCTGACTCACGGCAAAAGAAAGTAGTCTAAGTGAGAAAGTCATGAACTGATTTCAGACTTCAATAATTCAATATCTTGTCACCCATTTAAAAATTACAATTTCTTTTTTTTCAGGTGACTACACTTTAAATATTGACCTTTCAGATTTTGAAAAAAACAGTCGTTATGCACGATATAAAAACTTCAAAGTTGGAAATGAAAAGGTACTGAAAAGTTCAAAAAAGTAACGCTATGTATGAATGCATGAAACATGTAATGTAAACTGAATTCAGGGCAACCGAAACTGTACAAAGGCTATAGGGCTGTTTTGTTTATTAATATTTTATAATGTTTATGAACATTTTTAAAATGGTGACTTTTGGTTGATTTTGCCTCTTTTCCTTTAGAGTTCCTATGAGTTGGATATCGGGGAATACTCTGGAACAGCTGGCGATGCCTTTACAGCGAATTTTCATCCTGAGGTGCAGTGGTGGGGAAGTCACCAGAAAATGAAGTTCAGCACATGGGACAGAGATAATGACAACTATGAAGGGAACTGTGCAGAAGAAGATCAGTCTGGCTGGTGGTTTAACAGGTTTGACATTTAATAAACATAGTTGTAGTAGTGTTGCCCATATCTCCCTGGTGGGCATTAATTATAAAGTATGAGGCATTGTTGGTCTTCTTTATAATACTGGGGTTACTAACTAATCATCCTTATTAGAATTCTTCAGTGATGAAGTGTTTTTAAGGATTTGTTCACTGTGTACATTAATAAATCTTGAAAGATATGTCATACAAGTAGATCAAATTACTACTTTTTAAAATTTATTTTGATTTATTTATGCATACAAGAGCTGGGCTGTAGGCCAGAGGTGCTGGGGTGGGGAATGAGAGCATTCACCAGAGGCAGAGTGGGGAGCAATACAGTCTAATGGGAGTCGACGCTAAGGGGATAAGTGATCCTAATTCCCACTCAGCATTTGTAGGTGAATTATATGCTTTTTTTTAACTTGATAATCTAATTTCCTTAGATTTCAGAGCTATTGATTTATTGATTTATGCATACAGAACTGGGGTGCAGGCCAGAGGTGCAGGGGCGATGAGAGGATTCACCAGAGACAGAGCAGAGAGCAGAACAGACAGATTGGTGAAGTACACTGCTGAGGGGAGCAACCAGGTTTGACATTTAATAAACATAGTTGTAGTAGTGTTGCCCATATCTCCCTGGTGGGCATTAATTATAAAGTATGAGGCATTGTTGGTCTTCTTTATAATACTGGGGTTACTAACTAATCATCCTTATTAGAATTCTTCAGTGATGAAGTGTTTTTAAGTGTTCTGTATGCATAAATCAATAAATCAATAGCTCTGCAGTGTTCCGCCACCAGGGAGGGCCTTCAGAGCTATACTATGTGAAAACTCTCTATCATCTCTTCATTGGTTATATCAATAAACAATTATAAAGTTACTTATTTCATCACACTACAAATGAAAATTGTCACCTATAGCTTACCTATGTCAGGGGCAAATTTTACAGATCCCAGAAGAAGAAAGAAGATATTTTTTTATGTTCATGATTACTACCCCAATCTGCTTAGATTGGAGTAATTATATAAAGGATTAACTTAGACACATGATTCTTGGTTGATGGCTGGGAAAACTTTAAGTGCTAGTTTAGGTATTGTCTTCTTATCCTTGAGGTTAAAATAACTGATATGCTTGTGATTTTAAAAAAAGGGTGAATTGTGAAAGCAGTATCTTGGCAGCAGAAGGAGGAAAATAGAAGTGGAAATTATCCATGGGAATAGGCAGTAAGTACCAGGCCACACCTTGCTTTTTAACCCTTACCAGGCCTGCTAAGACTAAAGGTTAGAAGGTCATATTTTTGTATGCTTATTTTTCTTTTCTATTTTTTAAGACTATTAATAACAGGCCTGTGCCATATCTTGAGATGTGTTGTATAGCACCAAATTAAAAAACTTATCTTTCAGTCCTCCCTGGTGGCCTAGGGGTGAAGTCTCAGCGCTATCACTTCTAAGAACTAGTTAGGTCCCTGGCCAGGGAGCTGACCCACATAATGCAGCAGACCTCTCCTGCCTCCTCTGTTGCCCCCCTCAGCGGTGTATTTCAGTACATCTGCCTATTCTACTCCCCACTCTCTGTGGTGAATCCTTCTCCCCCATCTCCACGCCTCTGGCCTGCAACACAGTTCTTTTATGCATAAATAAATAAATATTTAAAAAACAATATGTTGGCTTTGCGAAGTTGACAAACATTCCATTGACTGAAAAGTGGCAAATTCATAGCTGATGTTTGGTCATTTGCTTGCAAAAATAACGAGGTTCTCCGAATGTTTTTCCTGACTGTCCTGCACTTATTTTTCCTCCCACTAGGTGTCACTCTGCAAATCTCAATGGTTTATACTACACAGGCGCCTACACAGCGCCAACCGACAATGGCATTGTCTGGCACACCTGGCTTGGATGGTGGTATTCTTTGAAATCTGTGGTTATGAAAATTAGGCCAAATGATTTTATTCCAAATATTGTTTAATTGCACCTATTGGACTTTCCTTTATTCAGTTCACCTTGATTTAAATTAATTTGAAACAATTCCAAATATATACATGTATAATAGTGACAATTGTTATGTGAACGACATTTCATTCTTATTCATCTTTATTAGTTAAAGAACTTTCATGACAGAAAATATGTATTAGTAACCAAATACATGTAGATTATGTTCATATTAAGGAATTCTTATATGCAAGAAGCAATAATAACAGCTTTTGTTGGAAAGAAAATAAAGAGGATAGGATATACCATGTCTTGGGAGATAATATAAGCATGAATGAGTAATAAATTAAATAAGAAAGCAGTTGAAAAATCCAGCAGATAATAGGTTGCCAAATCAACTACATATGCAATGAGTGTTATGAATTTGCATTTGAATTCAGGCCTCTGACTCAGAGTTGGAACTCTTCAATACAACTCTCATATTTTTTAGGCTGTAGGTTATACATTTCTTTCTTTGATTCTTTTACCAAATATGTGAAGTATTGAAGAGCTTAGAGTTTGTGGATCTGAGTCTTTGTGACTGCCCCAAATTATAAAACTCGTAAGTAAGGGAACAAAGACTCAAATCCTACTCTACAGATTCCAAGTAAAGCTTTTTACCACCCTGTTCCAGCTTCTTCTGGATAGAATGTGGATAGGTGAGGTGGAGGAAGAGAGGCTTTCCAGTGAGAGTTAAAAGCTTCAGTAAAGGTAATATATTCCAAATATATTTGAGCATCATGTGTAGATTTAGCTAATCCTTAGATCCTTAAACCAGTATTTCCCACCAGCAGTGCATGAGGGTCTGCTTAAAATCTGTATGTCTTTGGCTGGCTCCTTAACTACTCTCATTGCAAAGTGAAGAGTATAATACAGCTTTTTGAAAGTTTGTGTTATACTACTTTGCTTTTGTGAACGATCTACATTAGGTCCTGTTTTTGCTAGGCGAAAGAATTCTGAAGAGGATTTTCCATTCATGACAACGTTCAGCAACTGTTTTGCAGTAGCTACGCTGGAGACAACACACAGTCTGAATGTTATAGTAGCCAGGCCGAACTCCTTCCCCTGACAACTTTTTTCATATGTTTGCAGCCATCCTTTCTTTTACTGTCTGTGGTTGTTATTTTAGCTTCTGTGCAATATTTGATATGACTTGGTATATGGTTTTTGGGGGCTAGAAAAACTCAAATTTTTTTCCATAAAAATTAATAGCAGGGCCCTCCCTGGTGGCGCAGCGGGTTAAAGCATAGCACTGAGAATCTAAAGCCGCTTCCGCATGAGTTCGATTCCCGCCTGCCCCGGAGGAGACCACATGGCGCGGCAGACCTCTCCTGAC